AGCGACTTTTGAGGATTTAGCTGTCTGCATACTCGGGTATTAAGCTTAGAGCGATGGGCCTGCTACTAGACTTACTAAGTTTAGCATAAAAGGTATCCATTTCCGGTTTTGAGGGAACAGGGATCTCCTTTGACACGTTTCCTTTAGCAGAGTTATCAAGGCTGGAAACATTGGAGAGGTTCTCAATCTTGGCATCTAAATCGTTTTTCATTTTCCTTGCGGATGTAAAGTTTCTTTCTCGCACCTTTTCATATTCTACTTGTTTGACGTAGGTAGGTAAAAGCTACGAGCACTTCACTTGCGTGCAGGCAAGTCTGCCATTTATTTTTGTCCACGCTCCCAGATAAAATAGCACGCTTGCTATTTGCGAACAGGTTTCTGCCAGGCCAGCCTTGCAACCTAAGCAGTGTGCAAACAAAATTGTTCCTTCTCTTTCCGTGATAACCCAACATGAAATAAGAGAGTCGTTCATACGCTGGGAATGTCTCACCTTTGCTAAAACAAGAAACTTGTCGGCGATTATGTGGCCTTGCACGCTTGCGATAAAACCAGAGACCATTTGGTTATATGCTTCAAGACTTCGGAAAGCTTTAAACTGTTTCTGAGAGTAGAAACTTGTCTCCAAGACAAGATAACACAAAATATCTGTGGATTCAACAGGAGGCAAACAGTCCGGCTTAAGTCCTTCCCTTCGACTAAAACTGGATCAATTCCAATTGCCGCTATTTTCTGTAAATATCGATCTCTGACTGGAAAATCCAGCTGCTTCGCGTATTCGGATATCGGAAAAGAATAGTCGACCTCGCTTTTGTTCTGGGACTCTTTTTCTTTCTCTTTTGAATCCATTTTACTTGTGGGAATGATCGTTGTGGAAAAATTACGGGGATTACGCAATCGAAAGTGGTACACCAATATGGCCGACCGGAAATGATGTGACGTCACGTGAAAACGATCTATAGCGCTTTATAGTGATGTAAACTGCAGAAGAGAGAAGTATAGTACTATTTAAGGGTACATGTTGTTTTATAGCGCTGTATTGTGATGTAAATTGTGGAAGAGGGAAGTATAGTGCTATCTAGGGGTACTTGTTGCTTTTTATGATCCATCAAATATCTTTGCTCGCGCGCAATTGGTGTAAACGCAGTAAGTGACTAAATATCCCCCAGCTAATACTGGGTGATATCCGAGAATATCACGCAAGCGATATTCCCCAATTCGCAAACCTGACTTCTACCTCGATAAGTCTTCGTTTCAAATTTAATTCAATTCAGTGAGCTGTTCATAAAGATTCTTTCACGAGCGTTGCAAAATAATTCAAGGATAAAAATCACAATAGCCTCTATTTTGCACGAAAATATGTTCGGATATTTGTCCTTGGCATCTTGGAATAGATAATGTTCGCGGACAAATATCCACAATTATTTTCGTGCCAAATTGGAGCAATAGTTTATAGAGCGCTGTATGCTGAAAAAAAATTCAGTAGAGGGAAGCACAGTACTATTTAGGGGTTCATATTGTTGTGAGGCGCTGCACAGTTACTTCATTTTACGGATTTACAGTGCTACTCCGGGGTATAATGTTGTATTGTGCTGTATAATTTTAAAAGTTGCAATAAAGGGATATATAGTGCTATTTAGGGGAGGAGAAGAGGGGCATATAGGCGTACGTATTCGAGGAGTTTGTTCTACAACGTAAGGAGACATGGAGTCTAATAATCGACGGAACGTGTTTGCTCTAATGAATCTCTCGGGCTGTTATCGACTACCTCTTAGGAAGCATTACAATAACTTAACCTTTCTTGATTATTGTCTTGTCAAAACACTTTTTCAAGGTCCTCTCTGCGTCTACATCCAAGATGACGGCTACCGACTCGGAGAAGTCTGTGGATTGGCCTGCTGCCATCTTGGACTCGCGATGTAGGTGGACCCTGGGCGAGATATGATCCATTCCCAATCAGATGATAGAAGAAGCCTTAATTTGGACATTGAAGGACTCTTTTCCAACAAAATGCATCGATTATGTCGCAGAGACTTGGAGGGAGCTCTTTCGTTTTATAGCTGCTACTGTGATGAGAGGACCGAGGAGAGCAAACACTGGCAAGTGAGACTTAAAATTGAGACCCCCTGTGGACTGGGAATGAGTCGAAAGGAAAACTAAGATTTTACTAGACATGATGCAAAGAGGACACCATCCTAAAGTGAACAAAATAAGCATAATAACAACTACTCTGGGGAAGTAAGGAGGTATATGAGTTGTAAGAGACCTGACGTTGCGCGAGGATTGAGACGAATGAAAACTGAAACAGACAAGGAGATAAACGCGTCTAATGAAGCGCGTAGAAGAATAAAGTTGAGGGCGATGAAAGAAGTGCGCGTAAAAATGGGAATAAAGGAAAAGTACGATGAAAAAAAGGGAAGGAACAAAAAGAAGGAGAAAAAAGAGATGCACAAATGTGAAAAGGTGTAAAAAGGTAAAAAGGGCGCACACAGGTAACAGTATGAACACGTCCTTCGGCATTCAAAATCGTGTGACAATATGGAGAACGATAGACAGTGAAAGAGACACAATCGAAGAGTCGACGAGCGTTTGTTGAGTGGGTGGGGGCTTGAAACATGGAATGTCAGTACACTGTCAACTGCAAAGATTATCAACTTGGCGCGCGCGGGTCAAAACAAGCATTGAAGCCCCCGTAGGATCTGTTCTCCCTGCATCTCACGCGAATCCTTAGAATATGGAGACAGACAATGAAAACAAAGGCAGTTTTTGTATTTTATACACTCTCTATTTCTCTTACACAAAAAAGTAAAAAAAAGTACAATACAAACTGCATTAAATTGTTCAAGGCATTAAGTAAAGTACGCGCTAAACGAAGACACTAAAATGAACCCATTTATTCCCAAGATTGATCATAACTTAAATTCTCCTCACAAAATTAATGCACCGACAAACATGGTGTCAATAAGAATTAGAGAAAATCTAAACTAGCGGATTATTTTTCACTAGAAACGTTATGTTTTATCGAATTCTCAGAATGAAGCAACAAAGAAACACATTCTTATCAGTTGGGAGAATTTTTCTTCACAACTTGGGAGTTAATGAGTCAATGAATAAAAACTTAGGTAAATGAACAAATAGCTTCAACTTTAAATACAAATAGCATCAAAACAATTCACACCAAATACACTGACATTATAAAAAGAATGTTTAGTGGAAATTGTCCCAGCTTGTTTTTAAAATCCTACGTTACATCATATTCAACCATGTGCAAGGTTAACTATTACATTTTATACTGGCAGCATATACCAATGGTAGTTATGAAAATCTGTCAAAAATTAACATTGATTTTACAAAACTTTCTTTTAAAACAGCTGTGATACAGTATACCTTAAACTTTTGACCACATAACGGGTTCTAATTACACAGCGTGCTCTGAATACCTAAGTATAAATTCTTAAATCTAAGAAAGATATCATCAGACATCTCCAAATTATACTAAGGTAAATTTAAAGCCATGAAAAAAATTTGAACAGGAAATTTTCAAAAAATGCAAGTTTTATCCTGAAGCCCTGAACCTTTTTAACTACGGCCTAGATTTACATTTATTCATGAACATTTTCACCAAAATAATTCCCATTGAGGACTACATGGCTTACTTCAAGTGTTTCCCTAATTTATTGGCGTAAATATTTTCCTAATGAAAACAACAAATTCCATGTCACATACATTAAAAGTCACAGCAATGGAAACTTCAGTTAAAGTAAACTCTGCTTCGCTATTTCCTTGCTTAGATTACATCGACAATTTGTCTCTGTCGTCGTTCTCTAAAGCAAACTGATGAGTGTTTAATAAAACGGACTAAAACTGATCAAACTCGTTTGATTGAAAGCAGGCCGTTGTAGCCAGCTCTTTGACTTGTTGTAGGCCTTTTTCCTGAGAAATTTCAATTTTTGTTTCAACATTTGTAAGAGTCATATTAGAAAAGTCAAGCGGGCGGAAAACAATTGTAGGCCGGGCTCACGGGACTAGAGGCTGGCCACACCCCTGAGAGTAGGTCTAATGTCTCTAACATATGGTTAGTAAATTCAACAACATCATCTCTGGTGATTACTTCTTCAAATTAAGCTTAGAATGGCAATCTTGGCACTGATGGAATTAGATTGAAAAAAAAAAAGTTGAAAATGATAATCAACTTTTTGTAAAGATAATTGCAAATTGCAACAAAGTAATTTATGACGTAGAAAAACCATTAAGATCAATTCACATATGCCTGAGAATTTTGCAAATCACATTTTTGAAATTAAAATTTCGCCACCTTTTGCAAATTACAAGCTGTTTCTTTGCTTATCAAAAGCTTAGAGTATCTACGTAATTAAAACCCGGTGGACAAGCTCTTGGTTGTGTACAAGAAAAAAACCTTTTAATTATTTTACACATAACTGATTGCAATAAAGGAACAGATCCGAGTGTCATTTTGGCGAAACGAAAACCTCGTAGTCGCCTTCAACAACTTCAGGCATTAACAGCAGAAGCCTTGTTGCATCTTGTTCTCTTCGCAAGCACCTAAATTTGTAAAGGTAAAAAAATAGCAATTCCACTGAACAAAATATTCTGAAATAGTCTGTTTTATTTCTTCACCAAAGTAAAGTCACACATCTCAAGTTCCATTTAACAAAAAAAAGTGAAAAGTAATGAAAAATAGCCAAAAAGCGCCAAAATAGAGAAGCATTTAAACCTTCCAAGTTCCTGCGTCATTCATTTTGAGATGAACTAAAAAGTTTTCATTTATGTGATTTCATATTCAAATTTCCTCTTTCCTTTGCCATGAAGTCAAGAGTGACGTCATCTCCAATCAGCAAAAAAAAGGCGCCCAGTGTTTGATGTCGCAGAACTTGTCTGATTCTCTGAGGCTTTTCATGGCCAGGTTCAGTGACTCGCTTGCTGGTTTACCTCCTGCAAGTTGTTGATAAAAGTGTTTCATGAACTCAAGAGTAGCCTCGTCATCAATCGCCCACAGGGACACCACAATAGACCGAGCACCAGCCCCCATAAAAAGCGCGCGCAATGCCAACCACACCTTCAGCCTTGATCTCGCCCCGGCCGCTGTGGCAGCAACTAAGCACAACAAGTTTGGCCCGAAGTTGAGCATTCAACACATCTCCAATTGTTAAAATGTAATCCTCCTCCGTTGGCACAGTAGATATTCGGTCTGGGTCAGGTGTAAGAGCAATTTCGCCAGTTTCCATACATCCGTGTGCCGCAAAGTGAACTAGGGAAACGGAACTGAGTCTCTTCAACACCTCACGTTTCGTGGCCTGACTTCCAGTGATCGGCGTGATATTCAGAATGTTTCCGATCATTTCTACTTCTTTTTTAGCATACTCAAGCTGCTCGAAGACTTTCTTTCCCTCGCTGTTAGTAACCTCGGATACCCACGGATCTCCTACAAGTAACGCACCACTGCTTTTGTGATAATCATCTGGGCAATCGGCAATGAGTCTAAGACTTGCTAACGATGGAGCGACTCGGATTGTGAACGATTCACACAGGTATTTAGAATTACCATCCTTCAATGCAGCGTAAGGAGCGATCCACAGGGGTCCATCAGGAATAATGAGTAGCTCATCCCCTTCAATCAAGTCAGCCACCGGCTTCATAACGATATCATACAAAGTGCTCAAGCATCCGTCTTGTTGGATGTGAGGTTGAGGCTTGGCTTCTTTGGTTTTCTCATCCACTTTCGAACGGCCCTCCCTCAAAGCATCTAAAGATCGATTCTCGCATCTCACATTAGAACGAACACCAAGTTGTGTATAGACACCGAGCATGAACGCCTCAAAGGACAGGCTAGATCCACTATTCTCTGAAACAAAACCTTTGAGTTTACTTTGTCTTAACTGAACTTGTTTTCCTTCGGACACAACCCAAAGATTGACGTTAGCTTTGTCCACTGCCTGAAAGACAGTGTTCGATGGAACGTTTTTTAAAACTGCGCAATCTTCATCTTCTCCCTTGTGGTGACTTGTTCCACCACAAAAAAACTGGATTCCATGAGGTCGGTCAGAGCTTGAGCTCGTCCTTTCTCAGCAACAAATAAGGCTTCATCTACATTACCTTGTTCTACGAGAACTCTCCACAAACCCGTATACGCAACTTGATGCTGATTTCGAAAATTAACTTTCCACTCATCTTTAGATATTAGAAGTACTCTCAAGGAATTGAATAAGTTTATGCTAGCTTGGTAATGTTCAACGGCTTTTGGCAGTCTACCTTGTAACTCAAAAACCAATCCTAGTGAACAGTAGGCCATTGCCTCCGAGGATTTGTCTCCTACTTCTTTAGCTATTATAAGATGTAGGTTGTGGTACTCTATGGCTTTTTTGAAATCATCCAGACGGTCATAAGCATTGCCAAGATTGCCATAAGCGTTACCCTCCCCATGCTTGTCTCCTACTTCTTTAGCTATTTTAAGATGTAGGTTGTGGTACTCTATGGCTTTTTTTAAATCACCCAGACTAAGATAAGCATTGCCAAGATTGCCACAAGTGTTACCCTCCCCATGCTTGTCTCCTGCTTCTCTAGCGATTTTAAGAATTAGGTTGTGGTACTCTATGGCTTTTTTTAAATCACCCAGACGGTGATAAGCATTGCCAAGATTGCCATAAGCGTTACCCTCCCCATGCTTGTCTCCTACTTCTTTAGCTATTTTAAGATGTAGGTTGTGGTACTCTATGGCTTTTTTGAAATCACCCAGACGGTCATAAGCATTGCCAAGATTGCCATAAGCGTTACCCTCCCCATGCTTGTCTCCTACTTCTTTAGCTATTTTAAGATGTAGGTTGTGGTACTCTATGGCTTTTTTTTTAAATCACCCAGACTAAGATAAGCATTGCCAAGATTGCCATAAGCGTTACCCTCCCATGCTTGTCTCCTACTTCTTTAGCTATTTTAAGATCTAGGTTGTGGTACTCTATGGCTTTTTTTTGAAATCACCCAGACGGTGATAAGCATTGCCAAGATTGCCATAAGCACCACCCTCCCCATGCTTGTCTCCTACTTCTTTAGCTATTTTAAGATCTAGGTTGTGGTACTCTATGGCTTTTTTGAAATCACCCAGACTAAGATAAGCATTGCCAAGATTGCCATAAGCACCACCCTCCCCATGCTTGTCTCCTACTTCTTTAGCTATTTTAAGATGTAGGTTGTGGTACTCTATGGCTTTTTTGAAATCACCCAGACGGTCATAAGCATTGCCAAGATTGCCATAAGCACCACCCTCCCCATGCTTGTCTCCTACTTCTTTAGCTATTTTAAGATCTAGGTTGTGGTACTCTATGGCTTTTTTGAAATCACCCAGACTAAGATAAGCATTGCCAAGATTGCCATAAGCACCACCCTCCCCATGCTTGTCTCCTACTTCTTTAGCTATTTTAAGATCTAGGTTGTGGTACTCTATGGCTTTTTTGAAATCACCCAGACGGTGATAAGCATTGCCAAGATTGCCATAAGCGTTACCCTCCCCATGCTTGTCTCCTACTTCTTTAGCTATTTTAAGATGTAGGTTGTGGTACTCTATGGCTTTTTTGAAATCACCCAGACTATGATAAGCATTGCCAAGATTGCCATAAGCACCACCCTCCCCATGCTTGTCTCCTACTTCTTTAGCTATTTTAAGATGTAGGTTGTGGTACTCTATGGCTTTTTTGAAATCACCCAGACTAAGATAAGCATTGCCAAGATTGCCATAAGCGTTACCCTCCCCATGCTTGTCTCCTACTTCTTTAGCTATTTTAAGATGTAGGTTGTGGTACTCTATGGCTTTTTTTGAAATCCCAGACGGTCATAAGCATTGCCAAGATTGCCATAAGCACCACCCTCCCCATGCTTGTCTCCTACTTCTTTAGCTATTTTAAGATGTAGGTTGTGGTACTCTATGGCTTTTTTGAAATCACCCAGACGGTCATAAGCATTGCCAAGATTGCCATAAGCGTTACCCTCCCATGCTTGTCTCCTACTTTTTAGCTATTTTAAGATGTAGGTTGTGGTACTCTATGGCTTTTTTGAAATCACCCAGACGGTGATAAGCATTGCCAAGATTGCCATAAGCGTTACCCTCCCCATGCTTGTCTCCTACTTCTTTAGCTATTTTAAGATCTAGGTTGTTGTACTCTATGGCTTCTTTTCCCTGATTATAGAGATCTATGACTTTCTTGACATCACCTGAACTTGCACTACCGTGGTCATGACTAATAGGATCTTTTTCCTCCATGGACTTATCTCCCACTTCACTGACAGACTGAAGTCTTAATGACGAGAAGATCCTATTGTTTTTGTCAATCTTTTTTATGTTAAGGGTTAAAAATGTGGAAAAAACAAAAATATATAAAATAAATACATATCTTTAAAATATTTATTTGTCCATAGGAAAGCACAACGAAAGTTTCTGAGTCTCTAAGTAGAAGCAAAAGGTCGAAGGCAGAAAATCTGCATAAGATATGTAAACAATAAAGAGCTTTTTGTTCTGGCTTGTTTTAGAGAGATCCTCTACCCAAGTACTATGTATAAACTGAATGAATATTAGTCTTCTAACCCTTTAACTCCCGTGAGTGACCAAAAGAGAATTTCTCCTTACAATAGCAATACAATATCAATCAGATAAGTGTTGAGAGTAAAAAAAAAAAAATATATCAATTTCAAAATAGTTAGTTGATGCAATACTGAATTCTCTGTACTAACATTACAAGAATTGTATGGCTGACTGTAAGGATAATTACAAATTTGGTCTGGGAAATTAAAGGGTTATTTAAACTAATGTACCAGTTATTGGCATGGATAGTAGAACTAAGTCAAATTGGCTAAAAGGAGTAATTTCATTAATAAGTCATGAGGTAATAACTTCTCCTATGTTTTTAATCACACACACTTAAAGTATATGAGCTGACAAGTTCCCATCATAATTAATACCCTTCTTTGTATTTTCTGCCTTGAAAGTATATGAGCTGGAAACATTTTTCCATTATACGCACGGTTAGAAATGAAAGATTCCTTCAAAGGATACAGCTAGTCCCTTATCACACCAAGTGATTGCTTCTTCAAATCTCTTCAATTCAATACAAGCAGCGGCTCCTGTAGGCAACAACACAAAAAGAAGCATACTATTACTGTAGCTCAATTCTGAGAAAAGAACCTGAAACCATTGAAATCATCACAGACCAGAAGAAAAAAAAAGGCAAAACAAAACAATACAAAAAAACTAAACGGAAAAGAATAAACAGGCCCTATTAGGTTTCAGTTAGATTTATTTAGCTTTACAGACAACTGAAACTTCTAAGAACACTTAAATTGGGATCAACAACTCCCACAAAAACACTAAAAGTTAGGTAAGTCCTGATCCTTCTTTTTAAAACAACTAGATAGTGACTTAAGAGCGCGTCCACGAGAGCACCGGGTAGTCGCGCTACATGCCATCTCGCCGATTTCAAAGAAACTTTGTCAGTTTAAAGGGTCTACCCCAAAACTCAAAAAAACAGACTGGTTTCTGTTTTGGTTTTTTCCGGGTGGATATAGACCACCCCCCCGGTTTTTCTTGGTTTTCACCAAGGAAATCGCTTCAAATAGGTAAAATTTATGAAGCTTTAACTGCGATGGTATTTAACTGATTACTTTGAGAATTTGCACACATATTTTTACATCCTTAGTTAATGGCCGCCGCGAGTATCAGTCAGTTTGATTGACGGCTTGTCAATGAACAGAGGCAAATATACGACTTTGGTTTTAGACTTTTCGATTCATCTAAATATTTTACAACTTTGAGGTCAAATATCTCCCGTTGCCAGAAAGCTACAACATTAATCTTAATTACCCTTTATAACCCATCATTTCATCTCTGAAAATCATCAAAAAAATCTTTGGGCACTACCGTATTTTTGTCTTGGATACCTTTTAAAATCTGCGACTGTGACAAGTTTCTCTCAACTACACCTATCACGCAATTCTTGCTCTAGGCAGTCACTTGACAAAATAAACCTACATTTTTTAGCTCTTTATACAAGTTGATTGGTCAAGAAAGGTGAAAACTGTGAAAAACTTTCGAGGTTTTTCGTAGGAATGGAAAATTTCACGTTTAGAGAGATGCATGTTGACGGAAGATCAATGGGAAGATCGTAGCGTTTCTTTCTTCAGTCGTTTATTACTTTGAAGATTTGCTAAAATCAGGACATAGGGCTCTTGTACAGAACAAAAAATTCATTAGACTATACTTTGATCGTCTATTATCATTATCGTACAGTTTACGATAAGGAAACTGTAACAGGAGAGGAGATTTTAAAGTCTCATGTCGCCTGCTTGTTGACGTAAAAGTTCCCGAGTGTAACAACTTCGGCTTTTCCATACCGCGACTGACGGGAAACTCTGCCCTCCTTATTTGTTAGGAAATATCAATAGCCCCATGAATTCATTAACTACGCCATGTTTCCAGAAAATAAGACTGGAAAATGTTTTTTCCACTTTCCACCATCAAGAAATTCCACGTATAGGAATAGTATTTGTAGGGTCACTGCGTGACCTTTTATGAGAAGTAAAAATTGTTCATCTTTTTTTTTTTTTTTTTCAGGCACTTCTAGAAAGTTCCTAATCCTTCTATTATCTTATTTTCCTGTTTTTTTTGAATGCAAATGTCATCTGCATTTGCTATTATTTTCGCTGATTGTCATGGCCTTTCCTGCGTGCATGTGCTAGCTAGTTCATATACAGGACTCTTTCGAGTTTCCCTGGCTGGTGTCGGGCTTATGTGTGTAGGTCTGGTTCAAAGATATCTGCACGCTGCAACACGGGTTCCTATGTTTTCTCCTTTTTCTTTATTTGTATTTTCATTCTCTTGCTTGCATTATCACACATTTATGTTTTTTTATTCCCTCAGCACGTTCCCTCAGATTTGGAATTAGGCCTTGAAAAGTCAATATTGACCAGAACTGAAATCCTCTTCTATCACTATTTGTTTCAGAGAACCCCCTCATTTGTGACTTTATTTCTCAAGAAAATGTGTTTTTATTTGCTATTTATTTCCATTAGAACATGAAACTAGGTTCTGATAAGTTTTTTTGTCTCGTGACTCCCAAAAACTGTGTTTGCGACAACATCAATTGAGAAATCAAAGGCAATTACGCCTGAGAAATTCGCTTCTAGCCTTCTACCCGCAGAAGGCAACTCCATATAATGAAACGTTCTAAGACCTCTGTAAACTAGAGACATTGGGTGATGTTGAGGAGTGAAATATTTACACTAAATCTGTGACCCTTAAACGGATCACGTACTCGTACATGTAACGTCCGGAAAATGTCACGCATGTATAACACCGTAGGCGCACCTGGCGTATTCTATCCACTGACCTCAATAGTAAAGAGACAACTTATTTACTATTTGTATATGAGCAAGCTTATTTACCCTACTTGAAAAAATCCTTGATGAAGTCTACTATCGTCAAATGTGCGTTTCCTCGCGCTCGCCACGTTTATTCTTTGGAAAATTTTTTTACTGGAGGGCTATGTCGCTTAGCTTGGCGCGTCTTGACTCTGGCCGACGAAAATTATCCAGGTGAACTCCATGAAAATCTAGTCAAATGTTTAAAAACTTTGTCTACCCTTGATTTGTACGCAGAAAAAAAAGGCAAATCCCGAACGGTATTTCAAAACACTTTATTCATTAGTCAATTTATGAACTGTTTCATAGCAGCCCGAGGAAAAAGAAAAATTGAAACAACCGGCGTATCGGTTAAATGAATTCCAATTTTTTCAACAAGGAGTTGGTAAGTTCATTTTCCTTGTAAATTGAAGTGGGGGTCATTTTTTTTGTGACAGCCGATCAAAGATAGACATCTCTGAAACGTCTCTAAAACTCTTTTTAAAAAGAGCGTACACTTCCGGTCATATTTTCCTCCTTCTAGCAACAGCGCAACAGACAATGTTAATCCTATGTAGTGTAGGTGTATCAGTTGTATTACGTCTTCATAGTGATGCCATATAAGAAATCGAGTGTCTAAAAAGCCCTCAATTCAATCTAACACTCGAATTGATAAAGTCAAGATGGTGCAGTTGTCTTGTTCATTTGCAACTAACTGTAGAACCAAATGTTACTTTTCTCGCGCTGGCCAGGGACAGCAACAGCTCACACCTCTAAATTCGTGGGCATACAGCTTTAAAAAAACATTTGAGAGACGTCGATGTATCCGAAACATGCGTTTCGTCCGAGATGGAGCTTATTCTAGCGCGTATTGGCTTATTTGGAGATTACGAAGGCCGCGATTTCACGATGTACCTCAAATATCGTGCACAACTTGGTGTGAGATTCAGACCTTCGGGTTCGTAAATGCCAGTATCCTCCTCATAAAAAAATCGGAGACATAAAGTGAGAGAGATGAATCTGCAGATGGCAGAAGAAATCAAAGCTGGTGGCGAGTCTTCCTGGTGGCGGCAAGGTGACTGTAAACCTAAATAGAACGCGTGTTGTAGCTGCTATCTTAGAGTCGGCAATGAATAAGGAAGAAGGGCAAGAAGAGCGCTTATATGAACATCAGTTTTCCTAACTGGTGATTTGTGACTGAGATGAACTTTTTATCATATGATTGCTAGGGATACGCAGGTACTGTAGAGGCGCTCACATAGATAGAGGTGGGCGATCCTCCCTCTGACTTAAGAACTGCGACAAGTTTATAGCGCAGACCAACTAGCACAGTTTGAAACACCTCAGGGTCTCACTAGGCTCATCACATTAGAAACTTTCAGCAAACTAATCGTAGAAGCGGGTGGTTATCAGCAACGTGCACAGATTTCTGAACGCAGGTCATCGCGAGAACTATACCCAATCCGTCATAGACGGAACAAGAAAGCGAGATATTCTTGCTAAAAGAAGGGTGTATCAAGATGTTTCAGTCATTGGCTGCCATCCAAATGTACCCTAACAAAGACAAACACAGTGATGCCGACAAAAACATTCCGCCTAGGATAAGATCAAGAGGAAATGGACTAAGACCGGCTTGCCATTCTATAGGGGACGGCTACGTTCGAGGTCGGACCTCAGGTAAAAATTCTGACGAACAATCCCTAACTAGCCAAGTGGACTTTGGATGGGCTCTTTGGAAAACACAAAAAACAGCTACCTTTTCTCAGAAAGCAGGGAATTATCTCCTAGACGCGTGTTGGGCAAGGGAGGAAACTAGTAAGGCAACCGCCTCTAATGTGATCTCCCAAATATCGAGAGAGTTTAAGAGACGACACCAGCCAGAAATGTTGTCTAAGACTGACCGGTTGATACAGCAGCAAATCGCTCGATACTTCAGCCGGTTATCTGCTATAACAAAAATTGGTTTATTGATGAGGTCCCCCTCTGTAAATATGAATGAGGACAGAGAGGCCGATGCCAATGATCTAGCTTCAGAATTCGAAACTGACCGAACAAGGCAGAAGATAAGGAGGGACCTTGCAAAATTTAGACGAAGACTGCAGGAGAGGGTACAGCTGCTATTAAGCTAAAAAAAAAAGACATTCGCATCTCACTTTTCTTTCATATTTATTGTCTTTGCTCACGAAAACAACTGGCTATGTCTTGGGATTTCATCAAGGGAAATTTGCAGGAAGGCTACTCGTCAAATTACTGTTGGCTCATTCTTATTTAAAAATTTTACAAGTCACGCAACTAAACGCCGGCAACACTCGATCTAGAGAGATGTAGATTTATATGTAGTAATAGAATGCTTTGAAAAAAATATACAGATATTTAACGATCGAAGCAGGTAAATAATCATAGAGATCTGCAGATTATTCTGAAATTGTTATCAAGCAGATAGCATGAACAACGCGCTTGAATAATTCCTACGGAGAGTCTTTGGGTCACACAACTGATGTTAGCATAGCGGAGTTCTGTATGTAAATGTTCGATGGCGGTAAGTGACAACGTCAACACTATTTTAATTTTATTTTCGGGATAGAAGCACAGTTTTTAGTCCGATAGAACAATTTATATTTGCTCTCGAGCGAGAACGCAGAATTTCTCGTCTGTGAAAGCCGAAGTTGTAGTAATATCAGCCAACAAGCAGCATGTGACTTTAAAATCTCCTAAAATGAGCAGTGATGATGATAAACAATCAAATTATAGACTAATGAATGTTTTGTGCCGTACAAAAGCCATATCTGCTGATTTTAGCAAATCTTCAAAGTAAGAAACGACCGAAGAAAGAAACGCTACGATTTCCCATTGATTTTTTTCGTCTACATGTATCTCGAAAGTTTTTCTCGAAAGTTTTTCACAGTTTTCACCTTTCTTGATCAATCATCTTGTATAAAGAGCTAAAAAATGTAGGTTTATTTTGTCAAGTGACCGCCTAGAGCAAGAATTGCGTGACAGGTGTAGTTGAGAGAAACTTGTCAGAGTCGCAGATTTTAAAAGGCATCCAAGACAAAAATACCGTAGTGCCCAAAGATTTTTTTTGATGATTTTCAGAGATGAAATGATGGGTTATAAAGGGTAATTAAGATTAGTGTTGTAGCTTTCTGGCAACGGGAGATATTTGACCTCAAAGTTGTAAAATATTTAGATGAATCGAAAAGTCTAAAAACACAGTCGTATATTTGCCTCTGTTGATTGACAAGCCGTTGATTAAACTGACTGATACTCGCAGCAGACATTAACTAAAGATGTAAAAATATGTGTGCAAATTCTCAAAGTAATCAGTTAAATACCATCGCAGTGAGAGCTTCATACATTTTACCTATTTGAAGCGATTTCCTTGGTGAAAACCAAGAAAAACCGGGGTGGTCTATCTCCCCGGAAAAAAAAAAACCAAAACAGAAACCAGTTTGTCGTTTTGATTTTTGGGGTAGACCCTTTAAACTGGCAAAGTTTTATTGAAATCGGTGAGATGGCATGTAGCACGACCGCCCGGTGATTTCGTGGACACGCTCTTAATATATCTGACACCTGTGACTCATTGGACTTAAGGAACTAAAATATTCATGCTGAAATTTTGCTTTGCATTTCGCATTGAGTTCCTCACCCCGTTCAAAATAATATTCTCATCATGATTAATGGAAGTAATGGCGTAGCAGTCAAGAGCTGGATTCAAATGTACATCAGGGTGGTCTCGACCTCTTAATTAAAGTCCATTGAGACAAGATTGAACTCTATTTAACCTCATTTAACCTTAGAGTGTTGAGTTCTTTTTTTATTATTATTATTATTATTATTATAGTATAGCTAACATATCTAACCTCTCACAATTGCCTTAAGGAAAGTTGGATTTAACTCAATGGCTGCTTCTGCATCCCTTAGTGAATCCTGGTGATTTCCTGTTATTGACATAAATATCTCTGATTAGCCATACATGTTGTAAACCAACCACCATTACTATAATTTTGAGAAAAACTTGTGATGCTCGTTGATATCTGGGGTAAGAGGTTACTTCTTTGTATATTTGAGGGGCCAAGACAAGAGGTAAATTTTTCCGGGCATGCATTCAAAATTATCACCTTTTTCAGAAAACTACTAGTGACAACTCAATAGCTTCAAAATAGAAAAAAAAAAATGCCTATTAAAGCCCTCATCATCTTACCAAGTTTAGAATGTGCAATAGCCCTGTTGTTGTGCAGTTTGGCCTTCAGTTCTTTCTCGTTGCAGTTCATTTTAATTCCTTTGGTGTAAAAATGAATGGCATTGATGAAATCTCCTTTCTTGAAGGCCTCATTACCCTCATTTCTATAAACATCAGCTGTGGCTGCAAAGAAAAATAAAATAATTCGAAAAAAAAATTAAAAATAGGTGTCAAAGTCTGTGGTCGTAGTTAATAATTATTAGTGTATAATCAGAGCTCCAAGATCTGGAGATTTAAAATCTGCAGATTTTCAATAGTTATGATGATGCCAATGATGTAGGTGACATCATGGGTAAGAATAACAATGAGAATTAAGCATCACTCAACTTGAGGCAAACCCCTGGGCATTTAAATTTTTGGAGATAGGTTTCCTAAAATTCCCATTCCCTGGGCAAAATTAATAAAATATTCAAATGCCCCACACAGTTTTATGTAAAAGGTGAAATAATTAGTAATTTGACTTTCAACTAGTTGATCAAGCTTTAAAAACTAATTGACCAAGCTTTAAAACCTAGATCTTGAAGCCTTATTTCTTCTGAACCATCTGTTAGTGAAAGTACAAATGTGAGGCGTGAGTAGTCCAGTGGTCAGTGTGCTGGACTCTGGGTCCGACGGCCCGGGTTCAAGTCCTGGCTGGGGCATGACGTTGTGTCCTTAAGCAAGACGCTTTACTCACATTGCTTCGTCTTCTCGGATAGGACGTAAAACCGTAGGCCCCGTCTCCTGCAGGGTTGGGGTAGGAGACGTTAATTTCCCACGCACGAGATTACTGTGTGGTGGATGTCCTCCCCTGGGGTGGGATGGGTGGAAGAGACACTAATTGTAAAGTGCCTTTGATCATATAAAATGTTAATTGTTATAAATGAATTGTAAAGCGCTATTGAATATAGAAATAGAAATAGCGCTGTATAAGTACTGTATTATAATTATTATTATTAAGTACACTATCTACCTTAAACACCTCCATATTCAATGATAATTAACACTTGAACTCTACTGGAAATTAGATGTGACAGTTTTTATTCAAATTCCCTAACGCCAGTCAGGCAGGGTTAAACCCTTCCCCCTCTTTGGCTTGGATGAAGATCAAATGCCTGTGGGTTGCTCGAGGAGAAGGGAGGGAATGTTGAAGGTTTCAAAGTAACTGTATTTCATTAAAATGGTGATGATGATGGTGATGATGATGATGGTACCTATGATGCAAACTTACACAATGGATGTTACATGATGATCAAATAAAGTCTTAACTTATTATAACTTTGTGTTATTGCTTTGAACTTTTAGAAAAGAAAATAGCAAAAGTTTCTGTGTCATAGATCTTCTCAATGAACAGCATATTGTAATCATAGAAGAGAGTCATGACTGGCCAAATATTCTTTAAAGTGGTCATACAGTGTATGTATCCTTTTCCACATCTGCTTGCATTCTTGAAACTGATCCTGATCGAATAGAAATTGTTCTAACAATTACTGAAGCCGAAGTTGAACCTAGCTCACCTCGTAAAGTGTCCTCGTCAAAATTTGGTGCATTTTCTTTGTCAGGTAAGTCTTCATTTTCACATGGAACTTTAATTGAACTTCTTCCTGTAGCCATAGCAACAGTAAGAAGACTGATGCTTCGTACAAAGTTGTTCTTTTAAGTCATCCCAGCCTGAAAAAAAGGTGATTGAAAATGTTTATAAACATCAGCTCAACATATTACCCAGTTGCAAAATAAATATTTTTTCCCTTCTGAGAATGGGAGGGATACATAGACACAAAATCAGAAGCCAATTAAGAGCTAATGTCAACATGCATCAGACAAACGGCGGCAAGTCACCCAAATTCGTTTTCTCTCCTACTTTCATATTTTGTAGCCCAATATGTCCTGATAATTGTGGTGTAGTATTTTTGTGGAAATACATTTTAGTTTTTGAGAAATGATGTTTTTCGTTGGACCGCTCAAATATGCAAATTTTCACTCTGAATATTACCCGAGTTGTGTGACCTCATGTAACGAATTTACACGGTTACTGTTTTCTCCTTCGCAGCAGTTGTTTGGTTTCGTCACACAACGCCATCTATTCCCCGACGGAGAGAGAGCGCGTAGCGTGATGAGACCAAATAATAGTTGCGAAAGAGACCACGCTTACTGCCGTTCCTCTACCAGAGAGAAAATCAAAATTATTCGTCCACAGTTAGATGCCTGAAAAATATAATTCCATGTAATTCTACTACGAAAATCAAACGGAAACTCTGTTGTATCTCCAATAGACCCAACCAAAGATAGATTGCGATCTCGACCATTTCACAAGAGAAAAGGATAATATTTGAGAGAGGGCTCCTTGATTGGTTGTTGCCTATCTGGCCTTTTCCCACTGTGTGTGAAATACTTTATAAAATGCAGGTTGTTTACAAGGAATAAACATGCGATTGGATTAAGTTCAAGGTAGTTAAAAGCCGAGTTTATTCGTAGAAAAAGTCAAAACGCGGGAGAACTGCGTTAAAAGTTCACTATCGGTAGCAGTTAGTGTGAATTTTTTCCAGTGGGGTTGGACATTGCGATTAGAATACGTGATTAAATGCAGATTGTTTACAAGGAAATGACACGCGATGAAGCGAAGTTTAATTTGGCAAAATGGAATTTAATTGTCGAAATAAAATTTGTAATCAGTAGACTAGGTCAGGGAAGCAAAATAAAAAGAAATATACATATCCCAAAAATCTGTACACCCCCTCCCCTACTGCCTCCTTCTTCTTGCTTTTCTGATGGTAATTTCGTTTCTAAGTGTTAATTCACTCTATTTCAGACAACAAGGTGGTTTTCCATTACCAGAAATCCGAGATATCGATCATACTTGACCTCTCCACGCCTTGGCCAAGAAACAATTATCAAGAAATGTGTGGGATAAAAAGTAAATGTTCAAAATCTTCAAGGATCTTTCATTTTCTTGTCAAGATCTTCAGGGGTCTTTTATTTTCTTTCCAAGATCTTTAATTTTCTTGCCAAGATCTTTACGGATCTTCAAAATTTTCCTGCGAAGATCGTTCAGGATCTATTTCTTTCTGTCATTTCAAACTAAACTAATAGATAAATATTCGCCACCCAGAATGCCTTCAATGAAAATCACCAACGGGTAGCACTCATGATTTTATGTGGAACGAGCAAATGCAATTAGGCAATCTCTTTCAAATTTTCGTTTAATTTCCGACTCGAGTTATGACGAACAAGAACGAGGAGCATGTGGTTCACTCGTTAATTTATGTAGGACAAAAAAAAAGAGCAAAGAAGACGATCATTTATTCCAAAATCTATGTGTGAGCTGGATTTCAGCTTATTTTCATTTTCTACAGGTGTGCTGATAAATATTCAGTTACGCTGTGTTCTTAATATAACCTACATTTTTTCAAAAGAAGTCAAATGATGTGTTAAAGAATTCGTATTTTGATTTGTCGCCTTAAATTTTTCTCTGACTGAAAATATCTGCCAAGTTTTGTATCATTTAATAAGCAAGGAACGTTTTACATCTTCCCCTCGAAACGTGTGTTTGTGACAACTGCTTCCTCTTTCAATTTCTATAATGCGAACAGGATGTAACACGTAGACAGTAGTTTATAATCAAAATAAAAAGGAAAAAGGCTTCAGATTATCTCGTAACACTCAGTTTTCTCGGTTCTCACTAAATATTCTTCTAAAAAAATATAGTAAGCAGGGACACAGCACTTTAGATCGATAACATTTTCATAACTTGCTCTTGTCTGCGATCATATGGTCTAGTGTGTTGTTGCCGGCTCACTTTGCTGAAAGACCTATATGAAACCAAGATCCCACGCCTCATACCGGATTGTCTATATTTTACAATGTAATAAGTTTTTCTTTGTTAATACAAACTGGCAATATTATTGATGGAACACTGCGAGTGGGTGAGACAAAAATCCACCTGGTCTAATTAATTATTTCAGAGCTTACCTTAAAACGACGTTTCGTAAGCGATGGAGCGTTGAATTCGTCCTTAAGAACCTGTTAAATTTATAAAATTTTGCAAGACCGAAGATATTTTGATGAGTTCTTCAGAAGGTGACTTATAACACGAACAGTGTCGAGAGGGTACTCTTTTCCTAGTGGTCTCACGACGTAGGAATATTTGATTTTATTCCTCTGAAATTTAGCTCGCGATAACCTAGAAGCAACGCTTCGAGCTGGGGATGGCGAGCGTTAAAAATTTCTCGCTGCCACCAAAAGGAGGCAAATGACTCACTTTTTGTTTCACGACCATAATGATGTTTTTACCATTGCGTGACATTCTCAAGAAAACCAAAAGTTGATGACACATTGTGAAGTTTTCCGAGGAAATGAGTTATAAATAGTGAATAATACACGGGCGCACGTAGATGCGAATTTCGTTGATGGAATACAATTCAAGCACGTGAAAAATTGCCTAATGTTCACGTAGTGTAATGGTTGGGTATGTTCTAATGGACTTTGGACGTTGTTTTTATGGTACGTGATGGAACGTGAGTTGTTAGGCGTGTTCGTTGCGCGTAAAGGAGCCGTAAAAACACGTTTGACTTAAAAATAATACAAAAAATCAAATGCGAAACTTCCATGTCCCGATAAATCTCGACCTTAATCAACGAGGCTCTTGCGAAGACCACAAACCACCACACTTATCAAATGAGTCCAAGATTTCTGGTTAATGTTATTCTTTGTGCACAGCCCCCTGATCCATGACATCATCTATAAGAACATAGGTATGCGTAGCATGGGTGGGTTGAGATGGGACACTTTGTGTACCTAATGTTTTCATTTTTGTAACAGAAAAAGAGCATGACCTTCAAACGGAGGAAAATATCGCGTTACTTCACCTTGTCTGAACTCACACCACAGGCAGCCCAAACTCCAGCTGCGAGATGATCATCTTGCGAAATAAGATTCATGGTGATTTTTTCTGATTTTTTCGGATTTTCTTTACCCGGCAGTGGCATACCTGAATATTTTTATGAGTTGTGCCGTATTTTGACTTTCCCCACAGGCTCGTCAAATTCAAACAAG